GCAAAGACTCTGTGACTTATGGTCCAAAGACTGGATTTTCCAGGGGTCTCAGCATTTGTACAATCTCCCAACCTAGTGAATGGGAAAGCACAGAGTGGTCCTCAAGACTCACCTCAAATACTCTGTGTAATCAGGTTCCAGGTACACTATGAGAACTCACTAAATTCTTGCTCAAGGAATGACCAGAGAGGATCTCAGCTGCTGTGGCTCAGAACCTCTTGTGGTGGCTGTAAATCCTTTCACTGAACACAAAACTGAGTACTTCCGCCCACTCCCTTGTGGAGGTGGACCATGTGAGCATGGAGCCTACCCACTCCAGTGCAGTAGAGCTGGGGCTGGCACCTATCTTGTTGTTTAGTTCATATGGAAAGGTCATATTCCTACCCCTCCTCTGCTCCCACATCTACAGACATACACTCCACTTGAAAAGCACAAGTTATCTGGGTGCACTAGTAGCTCATGCCTGTAATCCTAGCTATTCAGAAGGCTGAAATCTAAGGATTTTAGTTTGCAGCCAGCCCAGTCAAGTAAGTCCACTGAGACTCTTATCTCTAATTAAACACCAAAAAGCCAGAAATGAGGCTGCGGCTCAAGTGGTAGGGTGTTCAACTTGAGCACAAATGCTTTGAGACAACACCCAGGCCCTGAGTTAAAGCCCCAAAACTGGAGAAAAATATAAAAAGCACAAAAATCAGCTGTAGGGGCTCTGACATTGAAATCCCACAGGCTGGCGCTAGTTCAAGTCCCAGCTGTGATTCTTACTGTGCATCCTGGAGCTTCCATGTCACTGGACCTTCTTCAGAAGGAAATCATGAGATCCTGGTGTTATCCTGAGACCTGCCAGCTCTGATACTCTAAGGCCTCATCTTAGAGTACCAGTTCTTAGAACCACTAGTCCTTGTCATCTTGGAACTTGCTTAATATTGATGGCCTGTCTCCCCAGCTGAATGTCAGCTCTAGTGAGTGGCTTTTCCTCTTTTTCACTGAGTTTGAACCAGTACTTAAAACAGTAAATGGCACAGAGAAGATGCTCAGTGAACAGCTGTTGGATGACTGCAGAACCATGTTTCCTTTGTTCTGTCCCTTGCCCAGGAGGAGTCTGTGTAAAGATGCCAGGACTGAATCATGGCTCGTGCATCTTGACCAGGCTTGCCTGAGCTGGGCTCCGGTGAACACAGTGCCATGACCTCAGCTAGGCTATCAGAGGAGGATGTTGGGTACCCAATGTTGTTCTGTGCTTGTTTATCACACCCTGATCCCCTTAGGGGCCCCTCTCACTCAGGGTCACCTTTGGCTCTTCCTTACCTCACCTTCCTTGGCCAGTCAGAGTAATATCCACCTGAACCCTCTGCAGAGGGAGCAGCAATTCCTGCACACCTGACCATGGGAGGCAACAGCTGAGGGCTCCCATTGAGAGAAAGAGCACCAAAGCCTTCCAATCACCTAAAAACCCTAGTTTAGACAACCAGGCAGTGGCTAGGAATGCTTGAACTCTACCAAAATTAGGGGCGGTGTCTGTGTTGGAGGCAAGTGGTCCCTGGCTGAGAGAACAGGGTCATTCTCTGAAAGTTAGCTAAGTTGGGATCAGATCTAAAAGATCTTGGAAACATGGGGGGAAAGTGGCCATCAAGGATGTGGACAGAGGAGATGGAGACTAGGAAGATGTCCAGCCTATTATTGCAGATGCTCCTCCCCTCCCCCCCCCCCCCCCCCCCCCCACCGCTCTATCCTGACACATGGAGCTGATGACCTCTCAAAATCAATTATCTGTCTCCTCACTACAGGAGTAGCCTTTTTGGCCAAATCAGGGCAGGAAAACTAAGGGAGTATAGCACCTCCTTTCTTCTTCTTCCCACATAAAGAAATCCAAGTGATATGATTACTTCTTGCCAAGCACTGTCCCTGCAACATCTCCTGGAATCCTAGTAACCACCTCAAGGATGGTCTACCTCTCCCCATTTTACAGGCCTAGAGAAATGAGGTATGGATCAGTTGGGAGCCAAGGAAGCTGGGTGCAAAGCACTGGACCTACCCAGAAGGGACTCCATTCTAAACTCAGAATCCTGCTAGCTCTTTAGCTGAAAGACTAGCCTGAATAGCACTCCCAGAGTGAAAAGAATACAAGTTTGAGGATGCTAGACACAATAATGAGAGTAGGGTGGAATTCATCCCAGAATACTTGGAGGAAGTGAATCTGGATCTAGGTTTCTTTGGTTTCATACAGTCTTCCAGAAATGTGAGCTAACTGCCATTCCTCTGGAAAAATTAGTATGGGCAGGAAGGGACAGCCTGGTACTCTGCGCATTTGGAAAGATCTCAAGAGAAAGGGTATAGGCTACACCTCGAAGTGTGCAGTAAAAGACTCAAGAGGAAGAGAGAAGGAATTATGTGGGGGGAGGGGTGATCCCACTGGCAAAAGGGAAGAGGCAGGATAGGAAGGCATGTGTGGATGAATTTTAATGCAATCAGAAAGCTGTCATCATGATAATAAAGGAATACATTCAGACGTCAGGAGAGGGAAGGCAAGGAGCTGTGTCCTAGCATTTAAATCAGGATCCATGGAGGAGGTGTCTTCCCTTCCCTTCCTTTTTCTTTCTAAGGGAAGATACAGAATTTTTAAGCTAGAGGGCTAGGGATTTGTAAGGTGTGGTTTTCTGGAAATTCTGATTTAGTTCCCTTTCTTTTCTCATCTCACTTCTCTCTGCTTTCTTTCTACTTGGTTTCCCTCTTTTTTTTGCCATCTCCCCTCTTTCCATTCCTAATTTCTCCTCCTCCCATCCCTTGTCATTCCACCTCCCACCCTGTTGTTGGTGTCCTAGTCCTTGTTGCTCCCACCCCAGACTTTGGAGTTGTAAGCTCTGAGGGTCCTGTAGCCCTCGTGATAGGGTGAGCTATGCCCCCAAATATTACCATGACATAGAACAGACCAGGCTAGAGTGGACCCAGAGCTTTGGCTGCAGCTCAGCTGTAATGGAGAGCCAAGCTGACCCAGAACTGGTAATAGGAACTGACACTGTGCCCTCCAGTTATAGGAGGAGCAGGAATGCAGCATCCCTCATGGTTAAGAACTTGCTCAGTGCTGAATATGCCCACAGGGGAGTGGGCAGGGCTTCTGCAGAGGAGGATTGGAAAGGCTTGGGAAGCAGTGTGGAGCCAGGAAACTTGTTCTGCTTTGCTTCCAACTGGGGATCAGTCCCTCATCAGCTCTGTGTGAACTCTCCCAGCAATGAAGGTTCAGAGGGACTCAGGTTCCCTCAGTGCCCTGTATTTAGAGGAAACCACAAATATGTGGCTGTTTGCAGTTTCAGGGGTCTGCATTTTTGCAGACTTGGCTGTATGTCAATCATTTACTAGTCCACAAACATCTAGTAAGTGCCTGCTGAGAACTGCCACCGCTGGGACCCTGTTCTAGTTACTGTGGCTGCATACCAATTTAGCCCAAAACCAAGTTGTGAAACAAATGTTTCTCATGCCCATGGGTTCCAAGAGACAGGAATTCACAGGGCACAGCATGGAAGGCTTGTTTCTGCTGTAGGATGTCTGGGCCTCAGGCGGAAGATTCACAAGCTGGGAGATGGAATATCTGAGGACTCATTTGCTCACAGGTCTGGTGTCTGACACTGGTTGTCAACTAGGGACATCAATGGACCCTGTGTGGTGCTCACTGGGGACCTTCACAGCATGGTGGTTGCCTTCCACAGAGCAAATATCCTCAAAGAGAGCCAACCTGGGCTTGTTCCCCTTTATGACCTTGCCTTGGAAGTCACAGTGGAGGAGGAACATTGAATATGTGTGTGTGTGTGTGTGTGTGTGTGTGTGTGTGTGTGTGTGTGGTCCTTCTGTAACCATTTACAAGCTTCTGTAGATCCATGTTGTGGGGTCGACTAAATACTAGACACTAAACACTGGACACTCAGCCCTGAGGGAGGGGAGCAGGAGAGGTGGGGAGTAGGCTGTGAGGCATCTTACCTAATAGGCTTCCCCAAAGTGCTCAGGCTGAATTTTACAGAAAAGGAAAGACCAAGTTTAAGTCTAGGCATGCAGACAAGGTGAAGTGAGACAGAAAGGAGGTGTGCCTCTAGGAATGGGATAGGACCTCCCTCCCTCCCTCCCTCCCTCCCTCCCTCCCTTCCTCCCTTCCTTCCTTCTCTGTTCATTCTCTAATCCCAGTGAGGGTCTACTATGTACCAGGTATTGCCGCTGCAGCCAAGACCTAGTCTCTTTCCCCAGGAAGTGACCTGTGGGTGAAGGAGAGGAGGAGAGCTAGATATAAACCAACTCCTTGATAAGAAATGCACTCATTACCTTGCCCGTGTAATTGTAACCCTCTGTACGGTATTTTCACTATTAAAAAAAAAAAAACAACTCCACAGGCAAACTCGTTTTGAAATTTGGGCAGAGAGTAAAGGAAGGGAGGCCCCACAAGCCTCTCCTTGGGGGCGGAGGCAATGTGGGAAGAGGAAGACTCGGCCTTGGGATCCACCGTGATCTCCCAGCAATGAGAACAGCATAAGCAAAGGTCCACGGCAGAAATATCTAGTGCAAATAATTCTGGCACCTGAATAAGACAACGTTCACAAGGAAGGAGAAGGAAACGCAGGGCAGGCCCAGAGACCTACGTAGTCCAGGCCAAGGACCAGACCAGGGGCTTGCCCATTGGGGTGGGACCGCTTCTGCCTAGTGGCTGCCATTCACCCCCTGCCTCCCTACGACCTCACCGGCTCCTTTGGCTGCGCCCTAACTCTGCTACCCTGCCTTTCTGGCCTGTGCCCCCCAATATCTCCCTCATCCCCCTCCCCCGCGCCCTCCCCAGCTCAGCTACGCCCATCCTCTCCCCCATGCCCCTCCCTCTCTGGCTGAGCACTGCCCCTGCTCCCCAACTCTCCCCAATCCCCCCCGTTGCCCTCCCCCTTCGGACGCGTCCTCTTTTCCCCCCGGGCCCGCCCCCGCGCTGCCCGGCCTCCGGCCCGGGTAAGCATCTCCTAAATTTGTTCTAGAAGATAGAAAACTCTTCGTGGGTATGCTCAACAAGCAGCAGTCTGAGGACGACGTGCGCCGTCTCTTTGAGGCCTTTGGGAACATTGAAGAGTGCACCATCCTGCGCGGTCCGGATGGCAACAGCAAGGGTGTGTGGGCGGGGCCGCGGGCGGGGCGGGCGCGGGGAGGGGCGGGGACGGGACCACCACCCATCCCGACGGGGCGGAGCCGGGGAAGGATGCTTGGAAGATCCTAGGAGGTCCGAATGTGGTCTGGGAGGGGACGATTATGGGTCTTTCTGCTCTATGGGCTTTGTTTCTAGCACCTCTCCTTCTCCCTCTCTCCTTCTCTCCTCCTCCCTCTCCCTCCCTTCCTCTCCTCTCTCGCTTTCTTTCCTCTTCTCCTTCAACTCTCTCTCTGTTTTCTCCTGAGATGCGTGCCCCACCTTGCCAGGCTTCCCTTCTTCCCCCTACCTTCTCTCCCCGGGGTCCTTCAGACCTTGGCTCAGCTTTTCCTGTCCCTTCAGGATGCGCCTTTGTGAAATACTCCTCCCACGCTGAGGCACAAGCTGCCATCAACGCTCTACACGGCAGCCAGACCATGCCTGTGAGTATGGTCTGGGAGGGGTCCCTTAGAGCAGGACCAGGACAGCTGTGAATGGACACGTCCACACCCATAGGCCTCAACTGCTGGAGGGGAGGTGGGAAGATGGGGGGGGCAATCTGTTGCCATCACTGTATCCCTGAGAGACAAGAAAGCATTGTCCTTATCACTGTTTCTCAAACAAGGACATCAAGGCCCAGAGATATGTTAAGAGATTGCCCAAGATCACCCAGATGGGAAATGTCCACCCTTGGGTTTGGACCTTGAACCTCAGTTAGGCAAACACTGGTGCCTATCTGGGATAGGGGATTGCCCCTCACAGAGATGAGCAGGACCAGGCAGGGAAAGGGATGCTGGGGCTGAGGGCTGAATGTTGGGGCAGGTAGGTCTGACATATCATCCTGGCTTCAGGGAGCCTCATCCAGTCTGGTGGTCAAGTTTGCCGACACTGACAAGGAACGCACGATGCGACGAATGCAACAGATGGCTGGCCAGATGGGCATGTTCAACCCCATGGCCATCCCCTTCGGGGCCTACGGAGCCTATGCTCAGGCAGTAAGTGGGGGCAGGGATGGGCTGACGTTCTGGAGCTCACTCACTCACCCATCAGTCCCAGAGAAATTCTACTCTGCCTTGGGGAGTGAGGAGGGCCAGGCATAAACTCAGGGCATGTAGCCTCAGAAGGAAGGAGTTAAGAGAAGGCCAGTGCAGCTTGGGGTGGCATGACAGGAGGATGTGGGTTGCTGCTCTGGAAAGAGCTCAAAGGAAGCTTCCTGGTGGGTCACCCTGAGCACTCTTTCCCCTTAGTCGAGTCAGTGCTGAATCCTAGGTAGCACGGGCTTCTCACAACTCCCTCCCCTTCCTTTCAGAGAGGGCGTTCTCGGGGCTTTTTTTCATTCCTGGAAGGGGTCCTGTGAAGTTACCCAAAGCCCTCACACCCACATTTCCCCTAAGTCTTCTACTGTCACCTGTGATCCCCTCAGGCCACTGATCCATCACCATTTCTTCCACATTGAACCCACTCCTACAGCATCTCCATCAATTGCTTCCAGGCATAGAACAAAAGTCCCCATATGGTGGTGCTGTGGTCCACTAAGGTTCTGATTCTAACCACAGAAGCTCATCTTATTTCTGCACTATTGTCTAGCTTTAGACACTTTCAAACAGCCTTCCCGCCCCCTCTCACCTTTGTGATGACATTCTTGGAGGTCTGTTCATGATTCTCCTGTCTCTTCTACCCAGCATACTCCAAGTTATTACCATTTAGAACAACTGTCCCTTCTCTATTTTTTTTTGGTAGGTGATGGGACTTGAACTCAGGGCCTGGGCTCTGTCCCTGTGGTCTCTTGCTCAAGGTTAGCACTCTGCCACTTTGACCCACAGCGCCACTTCCTCACCCTATGACTTTTGAATACAGGCATCTTCCAAGGAGGTGACCTCTAATAGCAAGTGCAGACTAAGACAGGAACAAAGAAGGCATCAGTGCTGTCTGGGGGTGGTGACTAGGAGACAGTTCCAGCGCTCTGGGGCTCAGAACCTGGGAAGTTAACCTCAGGAACGGAGCCCGCTGGTGGGGAGGGAAGCCTTCCGGAAGCATGTGATATTTTTCCTACTCCCTCTGCCCCAGCTGATGCAGCAGCAAGCAGCCCTCATGGCATCAGTCGCACAGGGTGGCTACCTGAATCCCATGGCTGCCTTCGCTGCTGCCCAGATGCAACAGATGGCAGCCCTCAACATGAATGGCCTGGCGGCCGCACCCATGACCCCAACCTCAGGTAAGCCAGCAGGTTCCAGCCCAGTGATAGAGTTAGCTGGGCCCAGATTAAGGCTTCTTTTTCATAGGTAGTGGATCATCCCAAACAAGAGTATATGGTATTGGGCAATTTGTCTGAAAAGGTTTCAATGCTTGGAAACTCAAGGGAAGATTGGGTAGGGGCCCCCATGAAATCCATGATAGGATTTAGAATTGATGAGAATTCAAGTTGGTAAACAGTTCAAATTGATCCCTATTAGCAACCAATATTTTAGTGAAAACCTTTCTCTTTGATGTCAAGGGTGGCTCTGCCTATTTAAGCCATTGAAGATGCAGTGGCCCTTTGTAAGACAATTATGCAACCAGCTAGGAAGAAACACAGAGTTATCAAAGGACAGGAATTGGAAACACTCATCTCACAAAGCATGTTTATTTTAAGTGGCTTTTGACTCTTCTCCAAAAGAAGATCCTCAACCAGTATAGTCATTTGGGGCTCTACCCCTAGGACATTTGACAGCGTCCAGAGACATTTCTGTTTTTCCCAACTGGGAGAGGGGAATGGTATTATAATCTAATTGGTAGAGGTCAGAAATGTTACCCATCCTCTATCACACAGCATAGTTCCCCACAACAAGAAAACTACTGGCCCCAAATAAATCTAGTGTCAACATTGAAAAATTCTGGTCTAAACGCCCCGACTGAGTAAATATCCCACTCTAATTCATCAAGGGTCCTTGGGTGGCAGACCATGACAGCAACATCCTGACATCCAAGAGCTGCTCCTTTCCCAGCTGAAAGTCATAAAAGACTGTGATGCCACTGAGCCCATCTTGATATTGCCGTGTCCCTAAAGGATAGGCCCTAGCCTCAGGGATACTTTTGAGCCTTACATCTTTTATTTTCAGAGAGAGAGAACGAAGTACTTCTTACATTAAGAGGAAGACTCTTTCCAGCTTCTGGGATCTCAGTGACATCTTCATGTAATTTGTATCTTGGGTTCTCACATCTTCTACCCAGTTGGAATAAGAAGACACACGTTATTGTCATGTGATCCCAGCTTTATTCCTAACACCATGAGCACAAGCACACCTTCTACTGTAGGAGGTTTAAATGTCTACTTTGTGTATAAGAAAGGGCCAAGACTGATTGAATAATAACTTTCTCAGTACAAGGGAACCAGAGTTAAGACCTCCTCCATCTCAGCAACAAAACTTCTTAGGAAAACATATCAGCTCCCCATGAGTAAAATGAGAACCAGTCAATTCTAACTTCTCAGGAGTGAGCAAAGCCACTGAAAATGGGGGGCCATGTGTTGTTAAAGTTGGGAGCACTGAGAATAGTCTGTGTGCTTTGGAGTCAAAAGTGAATGGTCAGTGGTCAGAGATATTCTCATGGCAAAATTAGAGTGTATAAAGCTGGTCTGTATCAGAAGATAAACTAGGGTATGATTCACCAATAACACTGAGCTATGTGTCAGTTCCAATTCAATCTCCAGGCCCTAGAAGCCAGGAAAGAGGAAGAGCTCCCTGGGTTAGCTTGCCTCACCTTTGTTCTGTTTGCCTCTTCTTTTTCCCAATATGTCTGCATCCCTGGAACCAGGTGGCAGCACCCCTCCGGGCATCACTGCACCAGCTGTGCCTAGCATCCCATCCCCCATTGGGGTGAACGGCTTCACTGGCCTTCCCCCACAGGCCAATGGACAACCTGCCGCGGAAGCTGTGTTTGCCAATGGCATCCACCCCTACCCAGGTAAGCACATCCAATAGGGCTTCTTTCCCCACCCAATCTATTCTTTCTTTATCCTTGCTCTTATAACAAGGAACCTGTGGCTCCTACTCTGTTCCTTGGTGAAATTCTAAATATGGTGAGAGAGAGCCAACGTGTTTCCCAGCTTCAGAGTATCTATGATGGGAGTGTAGAGGCTGAAATCTCACCCTCAGGGAGTGTCTGGTTCATCAGTGAGAGAATCCTATTGCAGGGATGTCCCTAGGGAAGAAAAGACAGCAGATGCAGTTGTACAGCCCACACAAAGAGGCCAGTGACTGCAAATTAATTGAGTGTGAATTTGAGCTATAAGAATTAAAAAGGTCTAAGTTAAAAGAATAATCAAACAGTGTTAAAGAAAAATCTTGGAGAAGAAAGTGGAGGTATGTTGATTGGCAGTCGAATTAGTACATGCCAGTCCTGTCTTTTCTTGCTCATAAAATCATGTTCAGCTCCTTGGACAGCAACTGGGGGAGGGGAGGGGACAGACACATCTCTGGGACATGCAGTTCTTGAAGAAGATCCCGGAGGCCTATTCCTGATTAACATTGCCCTTCTCACACACAACAGTTCTCACATAGCTAGGATGTACAGTTGACCTGAATCACTTCCTCACTATGGTGGGAGGCAAAACCCAGGAGGATCTGGATTCAGGCATGTGCCTGGGCAGAAAGTGAGACCCTATCTCAAAAATAACCAATGTGAAAAAAGACCTGAAAGCACAGATTAACAGTAGAACACCTGTCTAGCAAGTGTGAGGCTCAGAAGTAAAAAAAAAATCCTGGTATTACCCCCCACTTAAAAAAAAAGTAAATATCCTTAAACTCAAGAAGGTAAAAGATTCAAATGAAGGGAGAACTCCACAGGCTTAAGATGAAGCCGCAAGGAGCCTTCCTGAGTCAGAGGTTCAGGAGAAACTTTTTTTTATTGTCAGTTGTGGCGCGTGAACTCTGGGCATGGGCGCTGTCCATCAGCTCTTCAGCTCAAGGCTAGTGTTCTATCACTTGAGCCACAGCGCCACTTCCGGCTTTCTGGCAGTTTATTGGCAATTGGTGTTTCATGGGCTTTCCTGCCCCTCGCTGGCTTTGAACCACAATCCTCAGATCTCAGCCTCCTGAATAGCTAGGGTTACAGGTGTGAGCCACTGGTGCCTGGCTCAGGAGAAACTTTAACTGGCATTAGAAGTAGGGATGAACTAAGCACACTCCTGTGATGAGACCTTTCCTGGAAGCTTAGAGGAGGAAGTAGGAGAAGTCCACCCAACAGGGACCAGGGATCGTGGAAGGCTGACCAATAGGGAGAAGGAGCCAATTCAGATGAACCTCTGGAGGGTTACAGTCATACTCCTCACTCTGAATGCTCATTGGAATCACTGAGGAGCTTAGTAAGCCCACCACAATTCAATGTATGTCATACATGAAAGTTCTACTAGCTATAGATGGAAAGATCACTGTGCTAGTAGGAAATAAAGGAGCAGAATTTCCTGAACTAGGAGTTGTCCTTTATTCCAGTGTTCAATGAGAAAAGTAAGGCTTGCCTTGCAGCACCATCCTCAGTCCACAGATACGCAGCCTGAGAAGTCTAGAGATCTGGTAGTGCTCAGAGGCTCTGGGTGTTAAGACTGAAGACTGCAGGATGGGAACAGTGGTGAGGGAGGGGATCGGCCAGCTGGAGGTAGAAGTGACTCCACCAGTGTTAGGCTTGTGTGCTGGAAGGTGTCATCCCAGCGTCTCTGGGTGGTTTTGTTCTCCACCTTTCCCTTCCTCCAGGCACATCTGGATCTTTGGATTCTGACAAACCCACCAACATATGTGAGCCCATTTCCCTCCTAGAATTTGTAATTGTTTCATTTCCCTGTGTGTAACAATCTGTCAGATCCTGTAAACAATCCCCTGCCAAAGCAAGAGATAGGAGAGACAGAGACAGAGACACAGAGAGAAACAGAGAGGAAAATAGTACTTTAAAAAATGATTTACCATCTTTAAATGCAGAGTTTGGAGTCACTGTAATGAGCGAGATCCTTCAAAATGTTCACTCTTTGGCAGTTACTAATGAGGTCGTTAAGCAGAGAAGGGGGAGGGTTCAAGGATGCTTTTCTCCACTTACTAGCCCCAGTGGCGTCTTCATTCTCCCTTCTCAATTGTAAGCATGTTAGAGCATACAGTATGGCCTTCTCTGCCACACAGCCCTTAGGAAGGGCTGCCTCTGACAAACACTGAAGATTGTTCACAAACCCTTCAGCTATATTGTTCAGTGAGCACTTACTGAGTTCATAACAGCGTGCTAGGAGGCTACCATGTGACTTTTCTATATGTAGGAGTCACATTGTGTGCCTGAAGAAGGGACACCTTTTCTAATGCACATAAAGGAACTGAGTAGGTGAGTAGGAGGAAGATCAAGAGGCTGAGGCAGATGTAGCTGTCTCCTAGAGATCTGGCAGAGGATTCAGGCAGAGGTGCAGGAGTCAGGAGATCACTCTTCCCAGAACATCCCAGGGAGTTTTGAGCTTTGGTCTAAACACTAGGGAACAAAGAGTTAGATTGGAACAGCTCCTGGAAGCAAACAGCCAGCAACACAGACCATCTTCTGTGTTGCTCTTCTCTGCTCAGCAGAGCCCTGGTATAGGCTGTTTTCTCTGCTGTGACTTAGTTCCTAAAGCATTTGGGGACTGTCATCCTACTTTCCCTAGGGACCTCTATCCCAGGCTTTTCCAAGAGCTCTCCTGAGGTCTAGGTGCTATTTCCTAATGGAATTGTACTGTAAGACTCAGGGACAAGAGTATGGAAAGAAACTTGGGAATTCACCCACTCTAAAGGTACCCAAGCGTGACATTCAGTTAGTCTAGCTTGCTTTGGCCAACAGGCATGTGAGCCCAGGGATGTTTTTCTCCTGCTACCAGTGAGATAACCCCACCTACCTCCTTGAGCCTCCCAGAATCCTGCACCCATTTCAGTCATCTCCAGCCTTAGTCACCAAAGGTGCCTTCCTTAGTCACCATCCTCTGCTGAGACACACTTTGATCTTTTGCTCACAACTCCTTAGAATTCAGAGGTAAACCAAACCTTTGCCCTAGGCCAGCTTCCCCAAGGTTCTTGTAAAGTTTGAGGTCAAAAATCTTTTCCCACTGGGAAGCAGACATCCCAGAGCCACAAGTCAGAAGTGGGGTCTTGTGTCTTCTGGATCCTTGGTTTCTGTAAGCCACACCCTTCTCCCAGCCTCACTTATATGGCCAGCTCCGACTGGGAGAGTCTACAGCAAGGCCAGGAGTGGAAGATCTCCATGTCTTGTACAGATTCCCTAGGAGTCCCTCTGAACGACATTAGTGAGTTCAGAAAGACAAAGTGATGAAGTAAGGCCTCCTGTGGTCTTTCTTTCATCCACATGAGACCTGCCAGGCTGTTCTTTTGTTCAGTGCCCCCAACTTCTGCTGAGGATCAGTGAGGACAAGGCCCCCTCCCTGCTGACATCCTGCACCCTCACAGCCCCTCTCCAGATCTGGGTACTTCATGCGTCTCCCCACCAAGGCCCCCATGGTTGAGCCCTCCTCTGGAATCTCTTCCCTAGCCCTCTAGTCTTCTGCATGAAACCCCACCCTCCTCCCACCCAAGACAGCTGCATCCTGTATCTCCCAGCCACGGTGGGGGGCAATGCTCTCATTTCCTAAGGGCCCTGAGCACAGAAAGGAGACTTCCAACAGGGCCCAGCATCAAGATGCTTATCTCCAATGTTCCAAGGGCCAGCCTACAGTGGCTGGAAAAGAGCAGTGCAGCCATTGCATGGTACCCCTGGATAGGGTGGGGCAGGGGCCAGTTTAGACAGGCACTACTGACATCTTCTCCCTTGGCTCCCTTGCAGCACAGAGCCCCACCGCCGCGGACCCCCTGCAGCAGGCCTACGCTGGAGTGCAGCAGTATGCAGGTCGTTAGTACCCACGCGTCTCCTAGAGCCTGCCTGTGGCACCAGTGCTCTCTTCCTACCCCCAAATCTGGGCTCAGCACTGCATGGTTGGGGAGGGACTGGCAGGGGATCTGGGTGGAAGGAGGGAGGGCTATGCTGGCAGAGATACCCATGCCCACCCCAAATACCCCCTCCACCATTGGGCTGCCTTGATCTTTCAGCATTCAAGGCAGTTTTTCCAATGTACATTCTGCCCAGAGAGTAGTAGGTATGCAGAATTTCAGATAGGTCAGTGAGCCAGGCCGAAGGATTCCCTCCTAGGCTATCATTTGTTATTGAAGCCCGTTAATACTGACTGCTAGGGTCTGTGTACCCAGGAACCCCAAAGTGACATTGCATCACTGGGGCCAGCGCTGCCCTGTGCTTCTCTGCTCAGTGCAATCCCTGGTCACTTGTCCAGGAAGTACAGGGCCTGGACTTGAGAGGAGGAGGGACTCAGGAAAGGAAGCAGCTTCTGCTCACTCTTCACATGCAGGCAAGTGAGATACAGCTGAGGCAGGAGGAGAGGCAGCTGGAGATAGGAAAAAAAAAAAGAAGACGCTCAAAGAAACAGCCTGAGGGGGTGGGGGATGGGGTAACTGAGCCCAGCTAAGCTACCAGCAAGCTTCTGCCTTTCTTCTGTCTCTGGGTTGGGCAATATACCCATCATCATCTCTGCCCAACCTGCGCCTTATTATCTGGCCTGGTCAAGGTCTCTCTTCACTGGATTTAGAGAGCCAGACCCATCTCTCCTGAGGGTAATGGGTCTCTCTGGCAAGATGGACAATCAAGGGAAGCTGACTCTGTTTAACTAGGGTCTAGAGGAAGCTTTCTTATTGGCCAAACTCTCCACAGCTCTAACCTCAGGTCTAGACCAGGCTAAGGAGTGTGCTGGCCATTCTTGTCCTACCTTTGACCTTTTCCAAGTAGATACAGAAATCAGGTTTGTCCAACTGAGTCCTGTGCCCCTGGGCAGGCTTCTTGGAAGCCAAGTCTATAGCTCAGGCAGAGCCCTTTGTCCTCTGACAGATGCCACTTGAGTGAGAGTAAAGGTAGATGAGCCATGATTGCCCAGTGTTCCAGGTTCAACCTGCCTGCCCCCACCCCCAAACATACCACACACACACACACACACACACACACACACACACACACACACACACACACACACACTCACACTTAGCATCACCCTGTCACTCCTTCACTGGTACCAAAAATTAAAGACTGCTTTCTCTGAAGTGGCTGAGCAGACACATACCCTGTGTCTGGTCAGCCTTTACTGCCTGACACTGAACCTCTTCTCTTTCTTCCTACTTCTCACCCTGTCTGCCTTTCTCTCTGCATCTTGTCGCCATCGCTGTCTCTCGCCTCTTCCCTTGGCCCTCCAGCAGCCGCCTATCCTGCTGCCTATGGTCAGATAAGCCAGGCATTTCCTCAGCCACCACCAATGATTCCCCAGCAACAGAGAGAAGGTGAGTCATGGCCCCTCCCCTTCCTCTCTCCCTAAAGAGATTGTTTGTCTGTTGAGCCTCTGGACTCCCGTGGGCCTCTGGCAAGGGCCTTGGTTAGAAAGACAACCCTGTCTCTGTGTATGTGGAGGTGGATGGGACAGGGCAGCAGGGTGGTAAGATATGCTTCTATCCTGTCCATACATAGAGGGATGCACCTTGTAGGTAGCTTTGTAAACCAGAGTGGTGACTTAGCCTAGGAGCAGGAGACAGGGCAGATTGCCGTCCATCACTCACATAGCAGCTTTCCTATGTAGTTCCATCATTTACCACCGGTCTGACACAGCACACATGCCAGTATCTTGGCTAGGGTTACATTCCTTCCCTAGCAAGCCTTTGAATCAGCCTTTTAATAGAACCCAACAGAGGTTAGGCAGGTATTAACTGGTAGGGGCCTTTCTCCTGCCCCAGGGAGTCCTCAGCTTTAGGGAGGACATAGAAGCCCATTCTGTGTGTTCCCAGACAGTGAGAACACAGCTGGGAGATGAGTCTCCAACCATGTGGGTGCTTTAGTGGCATATTCACAGCCTGATATCTGTGGGTGTGGGTGAGGGAAACTAGTTCATCCTGGAAGAGATATTGTGCCCTCCATGTAGAATAGACAGACAGGTGGAGCTCCTTGTCTCTTGGGCAGATCAAGGCATGGGGGTGGGAACAATGTAGTACAGGTCTAGTAAAGAGGTATGTCCCGAACATCACATCTAGTATGTGAGCATAAACAGGAAGGAAAGCTCCATTAGCTTGGGTGGCAGGGACCACATAATGGTTTTTAGCACCCTTTTATCCCAAGGCTCAGAATCAAGAAGACCAGAGCCTGGATGAACAAGTTTTCCCCCCCCCCTTGTCCCAGAGGACTTGCCCACAGAGAGCTGAGCTTGAGGAATTGGAACACTAACAAAATCCTGTCTTCTTTACCTCCAACAATACCCTAAAGTCTGTTCTAGGGGCCCTCATGGCAGGGACTTAGAGTGATCTCCAGTTGCTATAGTCCCTGCATCAGACCATTCCAGAGCTGTGGGATATAGATTACTTAGAAGGGACCTTGGGTATGTTGTAGTCCAAACCCTTTTGATGAGACAGAATCCTAGCAGGGCCTAGTACCTGCATAGCCAAAAGCCAGGATTTTGAAACCAACATTTGATCGAACATCCAGCTTGCTCTCCTCCTTCCCAGATGACCCCAGATAAATCACCCACTTTATCCTTAGTGTTCTCACTTAGTGTTCTCCCCAGAAGGGCACTTCCCTGGGGACTGCTCTGCCACTGCCGTCCTTGATTCGAGCCATCTTCAATCAGGGTGGCACCCAGTGTTGCTGGTACAGGCCTAGAGCCAAGAGCTATGTCTACAAACCCTGCTGCTTTTGCCATCTGTTGGTCATCCAGCTAACCACAATCAGCTTCCTGCATCACCCTGTAGGCTCATGAGTCTTTAAATACCATCACCACACCCCTACCACACTGACCCAACATACCTGGCGTCCCCCACTGCTGATCCCCAGCCACTTTCTGTTCCTCCTCTGTACCTTATGCATGGAGCTCTCACCTCTTTCTCAGTTTTACCATCTCTGAGAAGCGTAAGCCACACCTTCTCCCATGCCCGGCTACAAAACCAGACCCTTTGGGACAGCCCCCACTCCTAGGGTAGAGGACCCTTTGGGACAGCCCCCACTCCTAGGGTAGAGGATCTCCCATTACTGTCTTCCATTCTCTCTGGCCATGATGAGTAAGCTGAACTCCCCCAGGGGAGCAGAGGTTGTGGAGGGGCTGGGGCTGAATTCAGAGACTAAAGGAATTGAGCAGCGTACGTGGGAGAGATCATGGTACTGGGAATGGGTTGCTGGTGAGGTTGAAGGCTGAGGTGGGCCTAGAAGAAGGAAGCCTCAGCACATAGAGATGGGGAGGCAGGCACTCCAGAAGGGGGACACCAAGAGCAAAGGATGCTGCTAAACATAAGGTGAGCCTGGTACTCGGGAGACAGGCAGAAAGGTAGGTTGGAGCAAGACCAGAGCTGGGTCCCATGATGCTTTCTAAGGCCTGGATGGGAAAGAAGACTGTATTTCCCTAGCTCTCCCTAATAGTTGTCTTTTTAATATCATAGTCACTTTCCCTTCTGAGGACAGCAACTGAATATCAGAATGCACTGGGTACTGGGGATGACTCTTGTTCCAGCTCCTTCTCTTGGAGCTGAGTCTGAAAACCACCAGATGCCTGAGTCTTCCTCCACTCCTTAGGCCACCTGCTCCACAGATGGGACAAGGTTGCCCTCAGGGATGGCTATAGCGCCAGCTCTGCCTAAGACTGCTATATGGTCAGGGTAATCACTTTCTGTCTCTAAAGATCTGTGTCACCTAGGATTGGACCTGACTGATCTGTGAAGTCATGATGGTCCTATCTGATGTTCTGTTTTCTGTGGATGAAGGCTGGGCATATCAGCTCACAGTTGACAGCAGAAGGCTGAAGGACTGTCCTGGTAGCTCAGCCTCACAATACAGAGATGGGACTAAGCCCAAGGATCTGTTTCTGAGGACTTCCTGTGTCTAATGAGAGAACAGATAAACATGCTCAGGAAGCAGCTTGTAGAACTTGAGCATGCAATGAGGATTCCAAGTCCCAGCTGGGTATCAGCACAAGGTGGAACTGTCAGGGAAGCCCTGAGGAATGAGAAGCAGGACATGGGCTGGAGGAGGAAATGGACTTGTTCTAGGGAGTGGCCTGTTTTGTTGGAGAGAAAAACCTTCCTGATAGAGTGCAAGCCTCAAATCCACAGAGGATGGAAGATGGATTCTGGGGACCTAGAAGGGAGAAATCAGGAGTGTTCTCAGGGAGAGAGGTGCTGGGGACAATGCGTGTGGGAATCCTGGAGGAGGTGGGACTTAGAGCTTCAAATGGTTCCTGCCCCAATGGTGCTCCCACACAGCTGATGCCCATCAAGAGGTGCACTCACATGGTATGCACCGGACAGAACATGGCATAGCTGGAAGGGACAGGGTAAAGGGAGGGCCATCAGAGTTGGGGGTGGTGGATGAGGAAGGAAGTACACCTGCGCCTGGTTTTGAATGCGCCGTCCACTGGCAAAGTACTTGGGGTGGTGAGAGGATGCGCATAGGAACTGTGGAGGCCAGCAGTTCAGCAGGTGGCTTTGGTGGGCAGGAGAGTCTTCCATAGGTTGCGAACATCTAGGGGGCCAAGTTAAGAGGAGGATGAGAAAGGGGAGAGAGAAGAGAAAGACAAGGACAGAGGGAATCCACAGTGAGCTGTTTGCCATAAAGCTAGGTTCTCTGGTGGCCTCGCTAGTCCCAGAGACCCACAGTGTTTGGATCTGGGTGCAAAAGCCATACCTAGGGCCACATTGGTGCTGTACAGCCTTCACTTACATTCAGGCCATCGCTAACGTAACTGTGAGTCACTTCAAAGGTTAAATGATATGTGGCAGGTGCTATGCAGACTGCGAGAAATATACCAGGCATCTTGGGAAATTTTCCATGTTACAGAGTAAAACCAGAGCATTTTGACCACTTAAAAAGAAACATAAAGCTCTGGGCAAAAATTCCAGAAATCCAAAGGCCTCTACAAAGTACAGGGACTCTAAGGGGCTGAGATTTATGACAGATTGGGAGAAAGAGAGAAAGACAGACAGACAGACAGACAGACAGGCAGGCAGGCAGGCAGGCAGGCAGAGAAAGAGAAGGGCACACCTTATGGAGATGACAGACAGGGTTTATATTCTGGCTTCCCTCTCTCCACTGCATCTTCTGGCACATGACAACCTCTCTGGGCCTCAAGTCTCCCCATCTGTGTAGTATAGATGAAAATCATTAAGCAATAGGATTGCTAAAGGATGAGGTGAATTAACACACATATAAAGTGCTCAGAACAGCCTGACATGCTGTAAAAGTATTTTTCATGCTGTAAAAGTGGCAGGGCTATTGTAAAGGAGTGGAGAAGCTTGTGTAAGGTGAGGCTCTAGGGGGCCGAGCTAACTATGGAGCCTCTATCAAAAGCCCTTCCTGTCCCGCCTCCTGGAGAAGCAGCATAAATCTTGCTTTCTGCCTTCAACACTAGAGAGAGAGAGTGGGAGGTACAGGGCAAGGATTTCATGGCTAAATGTGAAGAGCTACAGGCCTGGAAGGCAGGGGGCCTGGCCACTTGAGGCCAACCCTGCAGGAAGCAGAAGGTGAATTATTTCACAAGGGCAGGATAATTCCCTTCTCAGGGCCATTCCCTCCAGGAGGAGGCCCGCAGCCTCTCCAAACGCCTCCTTCAGCACCTCATTTCCAAAACTACAGCTGATCCTGTTCACCCCATTCTCTCATTGCCTCTGCCCCTGGAACCCCTGAGCTTCCAGGCTGCCTGTTAGTGCAGAAAAGGTGACTGAGACACAGAGAGGTTCTGTGACCCGCCCCAGAGCAGAGCTCAGACTTGAGACTCAATAACTCCCACTCTTCAGGGGTAGCCCTTGGATCTTGAGTGGAACCCCCCCTCCTAACCTTGCCCCACCCTCCCTGCTGCGCTGCCTAACTCGCTCACCTCTCCTCTGTCTCTCTCTTCCCCCACCCTGCCATCCCTCCTCCCTGCCCACCCCCTCCCCTCACCGCAGGGCCCGAGGGCTGTAACCTGTTCATCTACCATCTGCCCCAGGAGTTTGGGGACGCTGAGCTGATGCAGATGTTCCTCCCTTTCGGTAATGTCATCTCCTCGAAAGTGTTTGTGGATCGGGCGACTAACCAAAGTAAATGCTTTGGTGGGTAAAGATAACAAACCAGCAATCAGCTTCACCTAGGACAGGGGCTGCTCGCACCAACTTACAGGTGTCCAACCGCTTCTCGCCTGCTCCTTTCTCATCGCCCTCGGGTGCTCTCTGGGCCCAACCTCCATCTCTCACCTGTCTCTCTCTTCTGCTGTTCCTTTTGCTTCTCGGCTTTCCCTGCCACCCCGTCCCCCACCCTCCCTGGCTTTCACTTCCCACATCCCAGCCAAGACATCAGTTTCCTGTTCCAGTCCAAAGGTCTATTCCAGCCAGCTGAGGAAGGGAAGGGGCCATTTTGGGTAGGGGTGGGAGGGACTTTAGGCATAACCCAGAGCCCCTTTCCTCTCACTGTCAGAGTGGATGGCTTCAGCTTGCTCACTGTAAAACCTGGTGATTCCTAACCCCCAGGGGTAGATATAGCCTTTCAGAAGTTGCCCCTTCGTCCTCTCTCTGTTCTGCCACTCACTCTCTGTCTAGCCAAACCCCTTTCTCCCAGGCCACCAGAGCTGAGCATGGTTGAGAGGGAGCTGGTCCCCACCTTCAGGAAGTCTAAGCTCTGAGCTCATATGGAAACCACAGCTACTAATAAGCAGTAAGCTCTGCCCAGCACCAAGGAATGAAGCAGTAAGGAAGATAGAGGAAGAACAGAAAACCTAAAATGGGAGGCTGGAATGAGAAAAGATAAGGACTGAGGACAAAAGGCAGCAGGAGGCTTCCTGGAGAGAGGAGGGCTTACAAGACACCACTGAAGGAGGGTCTGAAATGGGAGTGCCTTGGCGATTCTTATGAAGAGAGTTTACATGGTGTGGTAGGTTATAGAATATGGTAGGAGAATGGAAACAAACTGACGGGAAATTTGCCTGGTGATAGGGTATTAGATGGGAGAGAGAAGACTTGGGAGCGTTCAAGTCTTCTTGTTATTGGAAAAATAAAGGCTGCCCAGCTAAATCTGAATTGCCCATAACAGGTACTTTTTTTTCAAATTGTATGTTCCAAACACATGTGATCCCATGTAATGTTGGGAATATACTTGTACTGAAAAACAACAACAACAACAGGATCCACTGTTCATCTGAAATCCACATTGCCCTGGGCACCTGATTTTTTTTTTCATTTGCAAAATCTTGCAGCCTTATCCAAGAATCTCTAAGCTTCAAGGAATCCTCCTCTTCCCCTGCCCCAAATGTCAAAAACCTTCCTCTGTCTCCCCCTCCCTTGGTCCCTCTCCATCCTCTTCAGGTCCACTTGTGAGTTCCTAAGGACAGAGGAGTGTAGTCCCCATGGAACCACATGTGGGAACAGAGCTGAGTCTTCTAGAATGCTGCTTAGAACTTGTATTTGCCAGAGAACCCAGGTCATAACTTGAGGGTGGTGAAGTAAGAAGATACACAGGGGAGAAGCACCAGGAAGCACATGTTAAGGAGTTTTTTGATTGAAGAATAGCTTTCCAGATCCATGAAGGTTTTGAGGATTGAGGGTGTGTTCTTTGTAGTCAACATCTTAGAATCAACGTTCCCTCCTCCCTCACAGCTACACCAGATGTCACAGGATTGTGGTCCAACCATGACATAGAGTTGCCCCAGCCACTCATTTCTTTTGCATGGACACAGAGCAAAAGACAGGGGTGCACATCTCACTGTACGACTGGTAGTTCTCCTTATGAGTTAAGATGATATATACAAAAACAAACTGCAAGTCAGTGGCATACGTTCTTCAAGTAAATCTCAAATGTTATGTAAACAAGAAGAAAACTGCTCAGAACCAAGGAAGCCCTGGGCCATCTGGGTTCAGTTAGGATTTGTCAACAGCCACATCCTATTTGGACACATTGGAGCTGTCCCATAGGTACTACCTGCCCTGAGCATTACCAGCCAAAGCCACTGGCCCACTTACATTCTTCAGAACCAAAACTGTTTTCCTGTATTTTATAGACTTGTCTCCTCTGCAACTGTTGCAACTGTTCTCTCTCTCCCTTTCTCTCTCCTGTTCTCTCTCCCTCTCCCTCCATCCCCCCTCCCTCCCTCATTCTTACTCTAAGACCTGCCCAGCCAGGTTGCTCCTTCTTAAGCCACTTGAGTCCCTTCACTCATTCCAGCAGTGGGAGCCTTTAGGCACTTTCTCAGATACCCATAGTGTGACCCTTAGCATCCATGCTCAATGTAGGCAATTCATTAAATACGCAAAATAAACAAAATATTAACAGTCACTCTTAGGAGATATTATAAAGGTTCCATGAGATGGTCTTGACAGGGCAGACCTTCTAGATGTGCAATTGTCCCTTTTCTTCTGAGGGCTATTTTACTTTATTTTCCCATATATAAATGTGGTACTGTGGTAAAGAGGACTCCTCAGAGACTCCATTACACATGGCCTTACAACAGCATCCATATAAATGTGTGAACAGAACACTAGAGGTATTTGTGAGGATATGTTCCTGTGATGGGCATTGGGCTGGGGGGATATTAGGAGGCTTCCCTTAGGGATCTGGAAGGCAGGAACTTCTCAAAGGTGGGATAAGAATGGAACAGGGAGCGCTGAAGGATGGAAAACAGCCCTGAGAACAGTGTACATGGGGAGCTAGTAGTCACAGCTCTGACTACAGGGGCCCAAGTCTTCAGGCAGACACTTCTTGGTTCTTCCCTTTTTGCCAAGTGATGAAACTGGTGAGGAAGGAACATTCTCCTGAGCCCAGAATCCTCCCCAGCTCCAAGGTTTCTGAGAAGTTGGTCATGACCTCCTCTACCTGCCCCCCTTCCATGCCTCCCTTTTGCCTTGCTCCAGGCAAGCCCCCATCACCTCTTTTATCTCTCTTCCTTCTCCTCTCTGCTTTGCTTGCTTTCTTTCCTTCCAAAAGAGCTGCCAAACCCAGGTGTTGAAGTAGAGTTGGTGCCTGTGGTGCCAGTGTGCGAGCAGAGGAATGAGAGGTACAACTTGTACCTAGAGCCAGGCTATCTTGTCCTGGCAGGAACAGAAGCTTTAGTTTGTCCACTCTCCTTAAGTCTGGCATAGAGCAGTATAAAAAGACACACTCTCACTTCTGAAAACTGCTTTGGTATGCTAAGCACTTGACTTTAGTCATCAGACACAGGTCAGTGGAGGGAGATGGGAGAGAGGGGAGGAGGGGAGTTGGTGGATGACTGGAGGCTGATCACAAACTACAGGTGATCCTACATCTTTCTTGTTCACTCTGGTATAATTGATTTATACAGATGTTGGTTTCATTGATCTGGGCTCATGGGTCCATATGTGTGCGAATGAGATATGTACACGTACATCCTCTTCCTCTATCTTTGATGGTGCATGGCTGCCTGAGCAAATTAAGCACAGAATGGAGAGAAGAGAAAAAGAAAAGGGGCAAATGGAGGCAGTGTTTGGGGTGGGGGTAAAAAGAGAGAAAGAGCCACTAGGTGGGGAGAGTGAGAAAAGTGTGTTCTGTTTTGGAATAAAGTCTCAGGCAAGGCTAAGCTTCTACAGACAACCAAGAAAACAGCTTGACCCAGGACAGGAGCCCACAGCCATCTCTGTGGCGTGCTCCAGAGACAGCCTGAGTGAGCAACTCACCAAGCTGGGCTTCACATCGTTTGTTTTTAAGGGTTTGTTTTTTTTTAACTTGGTAAGTTTTTTTTGTTTTTTGAGGCTTCACGTATTTTTCAGGATCGAACTCTACAAGAAAGTCTTCTGAACTTGAGTGAATTCAAGGAAGTATTAGATAAAAACAGAACTATAAAAGTTTATTTCCTGGAGACACTTGGGGGCAAGAGGGGATGTTTCTATTTCATGTTTCTTGAATTGGCCCAAAGGGGGCCTGGCTAGACACCTACCCGAGCGTAGAAATCCCCGCTGCACAGATCAAGGAGAGAAATGGAGAAGCCTCCGTGTCGTCTCCACTAGGAGATGCTTTCAAAGTTTCCGCAAATAGGCTTCCAAACCGGCTTTCTGGTTAGGACCCCTGCCACCGGGCTTTGTTTAGGCTGGGGGGGGGGGGACTGGAGGAGTGGAGGTGTGCAGAGCCCCGCTGTAGTCCCCGGTTCTCTAAGATGGCTTTCGACGGATTCTGACGCCTGCGATCACTGTGGGGGCTCAGGGAAATCCTCTGGCGCGGGGAGAGCGCACCTGCTCGCAGGGCTGGGACATGTCCACTCGCGGAAGAGGGGCTGCCCACCGCTGCTGGGGGACCCGGCGGCGGGTTGGGAAGCGTTGGTCTGGCTTCTCGGGGGGGGGGGTCGGTCGGCCGGGATTCTGGCCGGGCAGCCTCAGCCTCGCGCAGGACCGGGAGTGGGGGCGCAGGGGCGGCGAGGCCGCTGGGCCACACTGGCGAGGGGGGGCGGCCGGAAACGGCGGTGGAGAGCTTTTCTCCGCGGTGCCTCCCCTCCCGTCCCCTCGCACTCCTCTCTCTCCTCAGGCCGGCACCCCGTGCCCTCTCGCTGCCAGGCCCCCTCCTGTCAGGGAGGACAGTGTCCAATAAACTCCTCCACCCGCAGGTGTGTCCGCCCTCTCCCACCGAAGGAGAGGGCCGAGGTGGCGGGGCCGGCCGGGGTGGGGGGCGGGCACCTCTCCGAGCCCCGCCGAGGACGCGGGCACCCAGGTGTGGCCGGGCAGCCGGGGCCTCCAGAACGCCCA